CAGGAGATACAGGGACGGTGCTTCTTGACAGTGGCGAGATTGTCCAGATTCCGTGTGAGTACTTAGCGCTCAGAGTACCAAAAAGTGAAATGGAAGATGACCATGATTCAGAGCCACCAGAGCCTCAAGGGGGTGGTGATCGAACCCTTGGTGACATCATGATGGAAGCGCCGGAAGTGGACCCAGTTGAAGGTGCTTTGACAAGGCGATGGATCGAGAAAGTTGGGTTTAGAGAACTTGGTGATTTGGATAGGCTTGATGGCCTGTCATGTCTGCGTGCGAAACAGCACATCATGCAGATTGAAAAAGAATTCCTGGAGGCGCAGAGAAGGGGTGAAGAGCTCCCACGCTTTCAAGGGATGGTAGCCCTCCGGTTCTGAAAGAAGACAGATGAGGCTGGGAGGCATAGAATTTTAGCTCCCACCCAAGGAGGAGTGCGGAAAACAGACCATACAGGACATGACAACACGTCATATACGAAGATGTGCAGGCCCTTTTGAGTTCAGTGGAAAACGGTCGGCAATTTCTCTTTCGAGCCTTCGTCAAATGGATTCTCATTTGCAAACGGTGAGCAGTCCAACGTCCGTCAGAAGCTTGTGATCTATTTTCAGAATGACCAGGCACCCACTGGGTGGATTTCCGCTGCCATGGACATTTTAGACCAAGGAGACGCGCCAATCCTTTTCAGCGTCGAGCAACTTCGCAATCTGGGCATATCCATTGAGCGTACTCCTGTCGGCGACTATCTAACTTGTCCACTTTTCAACTTGAAACGTTTTCGTTGCCAGTGAGCACTTCGAACCTCAATGTCTTAGACATCATGATGTTTCCAAGCTCAGTCCGAAAGCTGAATCACAGTTTCACAGCAGTGAATCAGCTTGCAATGGCAAGCGTCGAGCACATACATACAAGGAAGGATGCAAGAAGGCAGGTTCGTTTGATGACAAGAAGGACAAGCCAGCAGCCGACATTCCGGCCGCAAAGAAGCCGGAAAAAAAATTGCGATCGGAGATGCCAAGATCGATCCGCCTTCGAAACTTGTTTCGATGCCTCCACCGGCCAAGAATGTGACAACCCCTTCATTTCGGAGAACAAAAAATCGCCTGATTTTTGCAACAATGTTTGAGCATTCGAATATTTCAAGTTCCAGTTCAGGAGCAGCAAGGCCAGATGCTTCTCTTGCAGGGCAAGACAAGCCGGTGAAGCCAGATCCTCAGGAAAACATGAAGGAAGACGTGAAAACAGAACCAACCACAGTCCATAGAGAGAAGAAAGCCCCAAAGGTTTCAATGACATTGCCGTTAGCATTGCAGAGAACTTTTGAAAAGAAGTCCCATCCTACAGAACTTTTTCGAAACTGCCATTCAAACACTATCACATGTCAATTGAACAGTTTAAGAAACGAACATCAGCATTGAAGATTCCTGCAATAGATTTGTGAAGAACATGACAAAGTAGTCAAACAGTGTGAAACTTGTCAGAAGCTTAACATTGCACCATCTCGATCAAGAATTTCAGGTATGAGAAACGTTCGGTGAACTCACCTTTGTCGATCAGGGCGAACTCGCTACCAACGAGAAGTCCAAACTTCTTTTCTTGATCATTTATGACGGTGCCACCTCTATGACTACTGCCTATGTCTGTAAGACGAAAGCAGAGACCATTGGACATCTGTTGGAGTACCTTGAGGCATACCAGCTGAATCCTAAGCATCTTGTCGGTGATCAAGGTTTCATGGGTACTGAACTTGAGGCCTTAAGAACATCCGACCGATTACTTTAGGACCTGGTACTCCATGGCCACATAGGGCTGAAGAAGCTGTGTGCATGTACAAGAAGCAGATCGCCCTGATGCTCAAGGCCGTGACTGAGGATCCATCCGGGTACGAGATCGCGTACCGTCAACTGCTTTGACCCCCAGACAAGCATCAGAATTCAGGTTCCAAGCCAGGTGGTGGTGCTGCTGGAGGAGCACCAACAGCGTCCGGATTGACACGTGTTGTGACAGGTTTAGACGGCACGCTACCATCAGAGTTCCAAAAGAAAACACAGCTCCAGTTTGACTCCGCTAACTTCGACAAGTCGTCAAAAAGATGTGACTGTATGTACAACATATTTGTATCCTTCTTAGATCATAAGAACAATGCGCCTGCGGTGTGTCGGTACTTCCTGGCATCGCTACTAGGAGCAAGGACGCTACTAGGGGCTCTGACCTCTAGTGGTTCAAAAGTACCTCGCCAAACTGTGGCGTGCTCAAATGCCATGGTTGGTGCAATAATCTGGCGCATATGTGAAACATCATGTGCAATATGCAATGACTCAGACCAAGGATTATACTCATGTCCCTTGGGGAGTGAGTTAACACGATTCATCATACGTCGGACATAAAAATCCTTGATTGTTACACTGTCAAGTTCACTGAAGTGAACAAATTCTCGATCCGTGTCTTCTGTCAGGAAGTGACTTCAGACTCGGAATGTCAGGTCCGTCAAGCAAAATTACGACTACGGTAGCCTGCGCGTGAAACAATCCATGATGGCTTCCCAGCGGCAGAAGACAGCGAATGAGCTTGGAACAGAAACGATATGGATATACCTGAGCTAATTTGGTTCTGCTTCCAAAGCCTGGTGCTGAACCTTCCAATGGCTGACGCTGATGTTGAACACCCCCGAACTTATTACGACATCTCTTGAATACCGGTGACATAATGTCTTCATCGAAATTGTGCAGAAGAGATGTTGGTTTGTTGTAGTAATAGCCATTGTTGTATTTCATTCCAAATGAACACATATCAAGAGTGCCATAGGTAACACCACGTTGTGACAAAAGACGCTGAAAACATCTGGTGCACCACAATGCTGAAGAAGCAGGATTCTCAATGATGAAGTGGCCTCCGTGTTCAATTTGAAATATGGCAATGCGACAGCAAAACTCTAACCTTGGAAGAAACTTCTGCAGCATAGTGATCATGGATATTGGTCATCTGGCTCCAAGGAGCCTAGTGGTGCGCCATAAAGATGACTTTGGCCTTTTGTTTCTCGATGATCTCCATCGTCCTCTTACGACCGTCACTGGTTAAGATGTCAAAACCTGTTCGAAGGTCAATAGGTTGTCCAACTCATAAACCATTCATGACAGCTACTTGACTCAGCCGTGCTGAACCTGCGCAAAATTCAAGGAAATCAATCTTACCAGACATGACTGGTTGCCGTGCATGAGCAGAGTATGTAAAGCCTTCGACGCCAGGTCAGAGACCGGAATGTCGGTCCGTGCGCTCTCAGAAGTCAGTAGTGCTACTGGATCGAGCGGCCCCATAGCATGTTCAATTGGATTTATATCCTTTCGATCCTTGCTGATGTTGACCTTAAGAATACGGGTGCCTAGGTCTATACCAACCACACTGCTTTCAGAACTGACCACCTTGCCTTTTCACCTTAGATTTGTCTTCTGTCCAATAGGATAAGGCCGATCTCCTGGTTGGGCCGCCGGTGGGTAGCTCGGGTAAAATATTTTTTGAGCGCATCACGATCAGTGACCGTGCAGTGTCTCGCGGAGGACAGAATGTACCAACCCGGTCGATTGATTGTAGTGTCCAAACCAGCAATTCGCCATTTAGCTATCACTTCATACTCCTTTTTGGACATTACGAGCCGCAAAAATGCGCGCCGCTCCTTTGAGGAGAGCGTGGTGGAATAAGAAGCGTCCATTGCCTTCCGGGACCAGATAGGTTTCGTCTGTATGAGGCGTCTCCGCACCCGCCGGTTGCTCCTCTTGACGAGGGAGAGCACTATCTTCGCCTTTGGACAATGGCAGGTGGGCTCACGGGCCCGCTTTGCAGCAATTCTTCGGCACGCTTCCACGGCCCCAGATGGTTGCTCGGCGGAACCGGTGGAGGTGAAGGCGAGGCAGGCATCTGTGGCGCTGGCATAGCAGGACGAGCTTTGGTCGAAGGGCGTTCAAACACAGGAAAACCATGTTGTCGTTTCTCAGGAGACGTCGACAACTGGAGTGTCTGGCTGGTCAGGAGTCAAAGGTGACAAAGAATCTGGAACAGGAGGAGTGGAAAACAGTCAACTGCTGAGTGATGGTCCATTCTATTGTGGAGACAAGATCTACAAATAGCCTACAAGATATCGCTCCGTGAAGACACATGGGCGAGATTTGTACAATTCTTCGCTACTGACCCAACCTATTTAGACAAGACTGCAACCTTTATTCAGACTAGGAAGGCACTAGCTATGCGAAAAAGACAAGCACATGCCAAACGCGCTCCTGCCTCGGATGATGAGAGTGGCTCCTCGTCATCGTCGTACTCCACTTCCAGCAGTAGCAGGAACCAGGGGTCTAGGCTTTAACTGCCGCAGCCGTCACTGCGCAAGCTGCGCATTGGGGGTCCTGGGCCCACCCTCCCCGTCCTCCAGCGCCAGCTTCCCAGCCTCACCAACACCATCATCCAACAATTGTCCGACCCGAGACGTGCGCCCGCAGCCATCCAAGCAGCACGGACAGCTGCGCAGGCCTTTCAATAGCGCGGGTTGTCCTTCATGGGGTACCCCCGCCAGCCCAGACCAGCAACCTCCCGCAGCACCAGAACCAGTGGGCCCCCCAACAACGAGGATGGCAACAGCCAGCTGCGACATCACTCCGCAAGCATGCCGAGCCGAGATGTTCGGCCATTCGCCGCGGCCCTCCAAGACCATGAATCCGGGCATACGCTTGAACCAGCGTCCCATTATACCATATACCCCCAGAGTCCACATACACGTCTGAACACTTCCGTCTGCTCATGCTTCGGAGATTCCGTTTGCCCATTCCCCCTGTCCACTAGGACTTGTCGATGCCGTCGCCCTTTTGACACACTGGGCGACCATCGATCAGCGTGTGCACAGTTGGGACTTTTGCGCAGTCGCGGGGGGCCACTCGAACGAACAGCAGTCCACCGCTGGTCTGCCATGCTCACGCATGCAGCTTTCACAGCTTACGCGACTTCTGTCCAGGCCTTGGATTCTGCCCCCCCCACACACACACACACAACTGTCGAAGGTGAACCCCTTGCCCGGCCGCACAAGACCTCCCCACCGAACCGCCCCAACCCAGCCGCCTCGCAGGCCCTTGAACCACACCGTGGATTGCGCAAATCTGGGGTCAGGCCAGCATCAAACCTCAGACCAGTAAAGAAACTGCCAACACTGGGGACAGCACCACCTTCCATAGGCCGGACTCGCGCGAAACACTACATGCCTGACGGAGAAGTGCGAAACATCAGCTGTCCGGCTCATGCATGGAGACGGGATCATGAAGATGACGCGTGCGAATCAACCGGTACTGTACCGCAGTGCGCACTTACCAACTTTTAGGCACCTGGTGTGGTGTTCGCTCACTTTGCGTGTTTGTGTTCTACCCAGGATTCCCAATCCACAAATGAGTCGTCAAACGTGGTGCTGAAGCATGTTGGAGCACCTGGTCTTGTCACAGGCCCATGGAGGACAAAAGGTTCCGAGCAAGTGTGTCCCCCACGTGTTTTCATCACGTGTGCAGTGCCAGGGCTGCCAAGCCTGTAGGCAAGCTCCCCAATTCCGGCGTCAAAGATGGCGAACTGAGGCTTGCAACCTTGAGTGGCTTGCGCTACGTTGTCCAGCTCTACTTCAGCACCTGGGTTTGCAAAATTGTTAACTATTTGTTGCCCAAGACCCATGTTGGGACCAAGGCTTATATTCAGCTGCCTATGCTTTTGTTGAGAAGCTGCCACAAGATGAATTGAAATTTGTGATTGGATTTATACTGTGTTTCTTCGGCGGCGTGCGCCTGAGCTGCATGAACAGGAGTTTTGGGTTGCCAAAGAATGGAACCAACGGAAAATGAAGAGAGGACGCTACTAGGAGCAAAGGGCATCGCTACTAGTAACAAGGGCCTTACTACTAGTAACAAGAAGCTAGTAGGAACAAAAATTCGTAAATAGAATTAAAGGTAGCAAAGGAGGCTACTAGGACCGAGGTTTGTTGCGCTCATTGCGGCGGTCGAAGCTTTCCGCACCATGGGTGGCCAGAGCTTGTATGATGATATGGCATATGTGCAGCTGGAGTTAGACAATGCCACTTGGAAGGCATATGGAGTGGCACCACGGGACATGGCTGACCTGCAGAGCTGGTAGGTTTTGAAAGCCCACGATGCTGATGAACAAGTGGATGCAAACCGAGATGCTCGACGGCAGCTGGGCACCATTTAGGCAATGAAAGGCCCCTGCAAACGCTTTTCCAGGATGGCATCCGAGATGTGGAGGCCATGGGCAGCCAAGAGCTCGTCCAGCACAAAACCATATTGGTGATGCAAAGCGTCTCGGCAAAACGTCCCAACTCGCCCCAAAAGTGTGAGAGGGAAACGGGAAAGTCTAGACTCAGAGTTGTCCAACCATCGAATGTTTTTTGATTGAATATTGTGAATTCACCCTGAGGCATTGCAGATCCCAAACGTCTGCAGGGTGCTGTAGGCAACCTTTGGTCTGCATACTTAGCAGTTATCGCCACGTTCGGGGCTCATACTTCCAGCGGTTGGTTCTGTTGCAGAAGGGGAGTTGCGTGTTGTTTAGGTTAAGCCTCAAATTTGCACAAACCACAGCCTATGCCCTGGCGATCTCTGAGATGGTGAAATTTCCGGTTGGCGCCTGAGGAACCACTGGGCAGGCCAGAAGAGCAGAAACGGAAAGAGACCGTGAATGTGCATGTTCGAGGGACAAGTGTAAATCGGATGGGTGCCACTGCCAACCCGGTGTTGGACAACTGAGGTGACACGGGTTGTTGCGCCTCCTCTAGCGTTTTTTGGCAGGGTTTGTGGTTCGCATGCTCCTCCGCAATTGCTTTGAGATCGCGTTGGGAACTGTTTAGAGCGAACAACATGATTGTAATTACATCGAATGCCGGGCGAGCTTTTACAGTCATTCGGACATGATTGCACACCCTGCTCACAGGTATGCGCTGGGTTCGAACTTGGTGAATTGGGTAGATGTCATCATCGACAGCACTTTAAAGGTGGGTCACGCTTATCGCTCTTCAGCCCACTGTGCGGTGGATCATCATTGTTTTTGTATGTATTTATGCATGTAGATATATATATATATACAGTGTGTATGTATATATATATATACAGTGTGTATGTGTATGTGTGTATATATATAAATGCAGATATGTAGATATGTAGATATTATAGTGGGTGTGCTTCGCCGATTTGTGAGTTGCTGCATCGCCCTGTTTTGAAATGCTTCATTCCTTCTGAACAAGCAGGAACAACCCCAACCTTTCAGTTCAAGATGTGCAACCAACAAGGCTGCCAGGGAGGGTGGAAAAATGGGACCCATGTGCAGGCGATCGTGATTTTGCTGGTCTGGTTCTTTGCGAGGATCAGGCGTTGACGGAAGCTTTGTTTCATATCCCAGGTTATTCTCCTTATGTAGAGAAGGTGCAGGTATGGAGGCAATGCATGGTCAATGGTAACGAACTCAATATACAGTTTGGAGTTACAATCGCTCGGTTCCGAAGCAGCAAAGCAGCATCCAGCAATAAAGCATGTCAAAGATGCGAACCAATCTTTTTGTAGCCACCGTATCCTACACGCAGCCGGTGACAGGAGTAGGCACTGTTTTCGTGCGTTGAAGACTTGAGCAGCAGTTGAGGGAAATCATCAATCACAAGTTCAACGAAAGCAGCTGCAGGAACAGTTTGGGGAAGTGGAAGTCTGGAAGTGACTGACATCGGTTGGCAGGAACCTGATACTAGCAAACAAAGCTAAGCCGAGCTAAGCTAAGCGAAGCCAAGCTAAGCTAGATGGTCAAAGAAGCTTCAGGTGGTTGATGCATCTTGGCACGGCATGCCGGCATGGATGGACATGAGAGAGACCCGGCGAGTTCGTGAGCATGTGGTAGCATCGACGAATTTGCCCTACTGGAATGCTGAAGGCAGCACGGGCCAACGAGGGGGAAATGAAACTGGGGTCTCTACCAAATTCCATGGAAGTGATTTCGGTTGAGATTGTTGAGTGTGATAGGCGTGGGCTACATATATGCTGCACAAATATAGAGACAGATAGACTCAACATGAAATCATGAACATCAGTTGCATTCGGGTTCAGCAAACTATTCATTCAGAGCAGGGCAGCACACTCCCCGGACAGACTTGATATCCGACCATTCATCCAAATTCAAGCTGCAAAAAGGAATCTTTGGATCCACTGGATTTCAGCGCATGGGACGTGGCGCGAAAAAGCTGCCTGGATCACAGGCCCTTGGCCTTCCAGGTGAACAAAAGGCAGGACACCACGAGCCGCTCCATGCTGGGGAGGTGAGCGAAAGTGAGGAGGACACTGACAGAGGTGGCTTCAGGATCAACCACCTCCAGGAAGACAAGGTGCTCTTGCCAACTTCTAACGGGAGACCAGGAGTCAAGCTGAAGAAGGGGGTGCCTGGCGGCTGTTCTAGGATCCCTCTGACCAACGCCCAACGAAACCGCAGAAAGCAACCGAAGCAAGGAGACGTGGCTGTTGCCAGTGCCTTGCAGATGTCGGCCACAATCCGGCGGCAACTGCTACAGGTGTGTCATCAAGCAGGCCTCAGCCCTCCACCGCTGCAAGTCCACTCACCGGAGGCCTCGGAGGTGCCCGGTTCGCCCGTCGAACTCGACGAACCGAAGCTTTTGCGCAGATCCCGGCCGGCTCTCGCTGCGCAGCTGCGGCGCGCGACCCTGGTGCGGGCGGAGCGTGAGAGGCAGCGGCGGTCTCGAGCTGTGCAGACGGTTCAATCCATGCCGGAGGTGAGTATCAAGATGAACCAAGATGCTCCCCTGATACCAAAGAGTGTGGAGCTGGAGGGGTATGTGTGCCAACCTGCTGCCAGGTGCCGGAATGCTTCACAGCACTCTGAGTCCAGTGGTCATGAGGCGTCACGTGGACAGATTGATTGTCTGGATGATATTGTTGTAGGCAGTCCTGAAGTAGAACCTCTTGGGGATGAAGGTGGTCAAGAAGTCATCGAGGTAGATAGTGCAATCCTTGCCCAAGAGGCATGGCTGGAAGCAAATGTACAGCCTGTTCAACAACCTGTTCCACGATCAGTTCCACATGAGCCAAGAAGGATGCAGGTAGAGTGGCGAGAAAAGGATGCCGGCTTCCACCATTTTGACTTGGAGATCTCAAAAGCCAATTGGGACCCAAAGCCTTGTGCATCCGTTTGGGAAAATGCAGTTAACCAGCACCCGGAGAGATCTACTCACTCGGTCCCGTTTCAGTCAAAAACTTGGTTCCCAACTGCATCTCGGACGTCAAGCAGCGCGGTTGAGGAGAACGGCCGCAGGGCAGGCCATCGCGATGACTCTTATGATGTGACAGTGCTGCAGGCGCTCTACCGCAAAGCTGGGTGGCGAACACATGACGTGACCAGCTTACAAAGTCCAGTGGAATCCTTGGAAGGTTGGGAAAGCCCAAAGGGCCAGGAGGGCGGGGATAGCTCTGAACACCAAAGTGTCCTGGATGAAGAGCTGCTTGGGACCCACCCAGATCGAGTCGCAAACCTGGAGCAGCCACCTCCACCTCCACCTGCCGTGCCGCCACAAACCGTAGACGCCAGTGATAACCAGGTTTCAGACGGCCTTGCACCTTCCGACCGCTCACCCTCGACGCTTCCAGAGGAGTCCTTCAAGCACCTCACACTCGAAGGATTCTCAGACGATTCTGGCGAGGCGGAGGAGGCAATGCCAAGTTCCCATCCAAGCTCCTCCTCATCGCGCCGAGAGGCTCTAGAAGAGCTGCCACCATTGCCAAGCTATCGTCCACTTCCAATTGAGCCTGGTTCCACTGCATCCTCGCGGTCTGCTGCAAAAGAGTTGGAAGAACAGTTCTACAGCAGCTTGCAGATCTTGGACAGTGTTCATGACCACCTTTCCCAAGCCGAGCTTCTAGCCCAGCGGCGGTCGCTTCAAGAGGAACACAAAGCCGAATTTGAGTCTCGGTTTGCAGGCAACTGTGGGGGTTTACGTAAGTCATTTTTTTGTGAGTGGGTTGTGCTCAGTCGCACGCACGCATACAGAGCAAGTTTTGCTATATATATATATGAGATGATGGGACCTGCTCTTGTAAACTCTCGTATTGGGCCCACATGCTCCTGAGGAGGACTTCTTGCAGCGACAAGCAGGCGTTGAGACACAGCTCTCTCAGCAGGCCGTTTTTTGGTTTGCGTGACTTGCAATATGACCCCACCTTGGGCACACCCCCACGGCATCACCCCAGCATTGCTTCTCAAGTGCCTTCCCGGCTTCGTGCCAGGCGCAGCTGGAGTCAAGTTTGGGCTTTCTTGAGTCCACCCGGCGTGCGCAGCAGCAACTTCTCCAGCAGTTCCAGCAGCTCGACTTGCAGGGATGACCAGAACACAGCGGGAGGGACAACCTACTTTTGGACGAAGAACTTTGCAGGTTAGTTTGCAGTGTTTCATCGTGTTTCATTTCCCGCTCGATGGATCACAGCATCCCAATGGCAAGCCAAGTCGACCAGATCTCGGTGGAGAATCGGAGCTTCGGTAGATTGCTGTGATCCGAGGTATGTGGATGAAGAAGTGCAGAGGAGCCGCCAGGCTTTTGAGGTCCAATGGAGGGCTCGTGAGCTCCAGCGCCAGGAGGTGTGGATGTAGGAAACGGTGGACACCAATATGGCAACGCGTGTTTGACGCTTGACGCTGGGTTGTTTTTCCCCAGATAGCGAAGCTATGGGGTTCTTACTTCAAATAACAATGACTTGCCCGTGCGCGCTTTCGAGACAGGTTGCTGGGTGCCGGTGCTGGTGGTGTGAGCTGGCTGTGCACGTGGTGGAGACAGGTTGCTGGTGCTGGTGCTGGGTGCCGGGTGCCGGCGCTGGTGCTGGAGCTGTGAGCTGGCTGTGCACGTGGTGTTGCTGGTGCCGCTGCTGGGCTGTTGCTGTGAGCTGGCTGTGCACTTGGTGGTGCTGTGAGCTGGCTGTGCGCGTGGTGGAGACAGGGTGCCGGTGCTGGGTGCTGGTAGTGCGCATGGTGGAGACAGCGGGTGCTGGTGCTGCTGGTGCTGGGTGCTGTGATCTGGCAGTGCGCGTGGTGGAGACTGGGTGCCGGTGCGTGAAGGCTGTGCACGTGGTGGAGAGAGGGTGCCGGGTGCTGGTGCTGGGTGCTGGGTACCGGTGCTGGGTGCTGTGTGAGCTGGCGTGCCGGTGCTCGGTACTGGTGCCCGCTTCTGACAGTGAAGTGAAAACAGACGCCGCTTCTGACAGTGAAGGGTGACAACCTGCCGCTTGTAGCAGTGAAGGGCGACCAACAGCCGAAGTGCCAGCAGTCATGGGCCGCATGAACTTATGCACGCATATGCACGCAACATCATACGGTGTGTCGCTTGAGGGTTCTTCGTCTATTAGCGCTGTGGGGTATTTACATTCTTCAGGTTCTGTTTTGGCCGACAGCTGTGTCAACCGCTGTGCTGTTTGCGCGTGTACTTTTGTACATGTTCTATGCGCAACGTCAGGCTCTCAACCGACCATGGCTTCAGCGTCCTTCAGCATGCTACGCACACGATAGTCGTGCTGGATAGTGTTTGGCCTTGGGCGAGTGAAGCCTACGGGCTTTGCCGCTTGTGCGCATACTTTTGCGCGCCAAAACTTTTACGCACAAGATCATACGGCCTTATCGTTCTTGAGATCGTTGCTTCAGGAATGCTACAAAGTCAATATAGTGGCGCTGGATATTGCTTGCCCTTGGGCCAATGACACTTACGGGCTTTGCCGTTTGCGCGCATACTTTTTGTGCGCATAAACTTATGCGCGCAAGATCGTACGTTGTTATTCCCCAAATAGGGATAGCTATGGGGTTCTTCGCAAATAAATGACCTGGGCGCGCTTTCGAAAGGGTGTCGGCTGGTGCTGGTGTTGTGGTCCTGGGTGCTGGTGCTGTGACCTGGCTGAGCGCGCGTTTAAGACGGGCGGCGGCGCTGCCGCTGCGGGTGTTGTCAGCTGGCAAAGCGCACCGGTGCCGGTGTCAGCTGGTTGTGCGCGCTGTGGAGGTGCCGTACGCTGGCTGTGCAGGCTGCGTACATTCTTGTTCCAGCCAATCGCATGTCAACAGGTCGTGGGATACTGCCTAGCTATCTGGGTCTATGCTGGTGAGATTTTTTTTTCCAGCTGTGGTTTTGCCTGGCCAGGAGGCTGAGGCACTGGAGAGGGAACGCTTGGAGAGGGAGCAGTCCATCCTTGAGAGGCAGCGGGAGATGTTGTTGTTGCTGGGGCTCACGTTGGAGCGCCAGTGAGAAGCTTGAGGCAAATCGTGGCCAACAAGCTGTGACTCAAATTGCTTGGGCCGTTTCTGATGTTTCACCCATTTATATATCTCCGTGGAGATCTTGACGTTGGCTAATTCAAGAGAGCTGTCCTCGGCACGCTCTGGGACGTTTCGGATGCTTGCTTGAAAGTGGCCGTGTCTTGCTGCAGGCCGGAGGTGTTTTTGCTGTTTTGAGTTGTTCAGTGGTCCATGCAAGGGCTGCCTTCTACTCCGGGCTGCGGGGTGGACAGATGCTGGGTGCTGCCAGGGCCCAAGTCAAGTAGCGGTGCTAATGAGACGAATGGTCGAAGCAAGGAGTCCAAAGATTCGTGGCTGAGGCAACCGTCCGGATTTGCCAGAAGCATGGTTGGACGGATTCTCTTCCATGGGCCAAGACCTTGGTTGGGAAGATGCTGTAACTCAATTCAGTTTGCAAGTCTATAGAGTTAAACCAAAGTCGACTTCTTCGTTTTAACTGAGGTCAAAAAGCGCGAACCTAAGCACTCGTGCAAAAGAGTGGATCTGGGCCATGGCCCTCTGGATGCTTCTTGCTACTAGTAACAAGTGCATGGCTACTAGTACCAAGGGCATTACTACTAGTAACAAGAAGCTACTAGGAACAAGTGCCTTACTAGTAGTAACAAGTGCCTTACTAGTAGTAACAAGAAGCTATTAGTAACAAGTGTCTTACTAGTAGTAACAAGAAGCTATTAGTAACAAGTGCCTTACTAGT